GGGACAGGTTGGAGGGGGTCAATGGGAAAAAAGGGGGAACATCTGTAATACTTTCAACAATAAAGGTAAACTTTTTAAAAAGAAAGAAAGAAAGGAAAGATTCTTTTCTGGAGTCTTGAGAGGGAATGTGGCCATGTCCACATCATGATTTAGAATTTCTAGACTTTAGAACTGTGAGAGGATACATATTTGTTGTTTTAAGTCACCAAGTTTATGACAATTTGTCATATCATTCCTGGGAAACTCATTATAATCACCGCTGGTAAAAGAAAGGATTGAATTTTCTACAAGTCTCTTCTTTTCTCAAACCTATTTTAACTTGAAGAGAAAGACTGGTATATTTATATGTATCATAGTGTAACTCTTTTTTTTTTTTACCCAAACTGACCCAAAAACATCAAACCAGTGTCAGAGTCAGAACCAGAACCCACATTTTCTAGGCTCATTATATGGAACACAGCCTTCCTGAAGAGTTTAGAGTTTAAGGGGAAAAAGGCAATTTCCTTTACCCATGGGTCACCTGATGCTTGTCAACATAACCTCCTCAAATATCCATTTCACACAAAGCAGACAGTTGGTATCTGTGTGAGCCAGGTCAAAGGCATGAGGCCAAGAACACTCACTTGAACTTGAAATTGAATGAAGGTTTGAGTCCCAGAGGTAAGGGTTCTAGAGGAATTTAATTTCTCTAGGCAAACAGACAGTTGAGAGATTGGTAAGTAAGTATTAATACATAACAGAGGGAAAAAAGGAAAGAGGAGGCAGAGAGAAACATTCTCAGGTCTAAAGTACAAAGGAAAGATTCAGAAATCACAGGTCATAGGTTTGTGACTGAAGTCAAAGAATTAAATGAATTCCATTTAGACTGTTGGCAGAACCTTAGGGATTCTCAACATTTACTTCTGAGACCCAGTTCGAGAAACTAGCAAAAGCCCAGAGTTTCAAGAATAAGGAGTATATTTGAACTGGCTTTTATCTTAATTGCCCTAAGCACTTCTCAATCCATTTGGAGCCTTATTGCCTAAAGATAATGAAACCAGCCAATCATTCATCCAACGTACCCTGAACCCCTATAGCACGTCAGTACTGTGGCAAGCACTGAGATTTAAAAAAAGAAAAAGAAGACAGCTAAATGATGTGCTTTGAACTTTAGTAAACGCAATATTATGGCCCATGGGGACACTTTAAAGATGTTCAAATAATAAATGAAACATACCATCCAGAAG